AGGAAATATGACACAGGGCTCAACTTCCGTCTCATAGTTTAAAGGTGGACAAAAAAATGAGGAAAGGATGTCTATCAGGATAAGCCAGCACAGATCTGCTTCAAAGTGTATTTTAAATAAATGCAAGGAAGAATTGGCAATGCTGCCCAGGCAAAATCTGAAGACCTCTAAAGCAATAAGATTACAAGTAGCAATCCCATGCAAGGTCCATTAGATGCTTGCAGACACCGGAGTCCAATCTTTTTTGACTCCAAATGTTCCAATGAACGTCCCATCCACATCCAATCTCAAGTAACAACAGGCCTATGTCAAGTGAGACACACCCTGGAAGATGGTAATAAACCCATGGTGTTAAACAATGACTGCATTCATATATTTCACTGGCGCATGGTTGTGTAATCATAACCTCTTGAGGAGAACACAAAGGGTGAGGTTTTCACAACATGCTAAACCATCGGCCAGAGTTTACAAGACAGTGCTGAGATTTATCCAAGCTGCTAAGCCATCTTCACAAACCAGACATTGAGTTACATGAATAATAGTTTAGCACACAATGAACAAATGTGCTAAGATCCCATGATTTGCTGAGCAAACTAAGTCACATAATCTGCTAAAACATAAATTATGATTTGCAAGCAGAAGGACTGAGTTTGGTGAAGTCCACTAAGCCAGAATAAACAAACCATATTTCACTTAGCACAATGGGGGAACCAGCTGGTGTTTCCATACCGAGCAGACAACATTTGCCTAAAGCTTGTATTATTTACTTAATGAGTAATACTCTGGAATCTCTCTGGCCTCTTCATCATGCCTTCAGAGTTCAACCATCCCTTCACTTTCCATGGATTTAAGAATGGATTTCTCACTTTTCACTCAGAAATTATGATTTATATTTATTTTTAAAGCGGAGGATGAGATACAGGTGCATAACAATACTTGGGCACCGGGGAATCCATGCAAAAATAACACCCATCAGTCACTGTCCATAAGAGCCAATCTCGTCCTTGGAAAACCAGCTGGTTTTGATGGAGCCTGGCCAGATTCCCCCCTCCTTCCCCCCACCCATCTCTCTTGGGTGCTGCCTGAAACCTCCTCACCCACCCCATCTTCAAGACTTCATTACCAGCACCCTTCCTCAGGTTTGCATCTGCTTCAGCAATCTCCCCTCTGCTCACCTATCCAGTAGGAATTATTTAATTATCCCGAAGGCCAGATGAGGCGCACCTGTTCAGGGGCCTTTATTCTATTCTCCAATGAAGCAGAAAGAAAAAAGAATGGAGATCCATGGTGGAGAGACAGAGAGTTATGGCTAAAGTTAAGGAAGTTCTTTCTCAATTAATATGTTTCACTTGCAACATATTGTGGAACGCTAGTTTCCTTTCTTTGGAATACTTCCTACTAAGCATCTCTCATCCCTGGAGTTGGTCAGGGAGACCCCACCAACTTCCTTCTTTCTTGGTTGGTGCACCAGACAGACAGACAGACAGGTGTAAAACTGCTCTCAAGGCCGAAGGACAGTTGTGGTAATGGCCTGTTTGTGGTGATTTTCTGCCACATAGTGTTAACCACAGACTTCCTGCCTTGTGTACATCGTGGCTTTTAAAGAGGTTTTGGCTGAAAGCTTTTGTTTCTTTGTGGATCTGTCTGCGATCAACATTCATCAGGCTACATATACATCAAATATTACTAACATCTGGCCTTTTTCCCCCCTTCTTTTTTCATGCACATGTAAAAGCCAAAACACATGATAAATAGACTCCTACAGGACATCTGTTCTTGGCCTGAGCCACTTCAGAATGAAAAGGAATCAAATCTTTGATTGCTTTCCCATATTTTCAAAAGCTCTTCACACAGAAAACTCGCACACTCTAAGTTGTTTTTTTTCCTATAACATGCTAGATTTGTTTAGTAGATGAAGGATCTTTTTAATGTTCAATCCATTTCCATGTCTACAGTCTCAATTACCTCTGTTCACTGAATTGTATGGATCGACTTCAAATCACTGCAAAGGCTTGAGTGAAAGCTATGTATTTGCAGAAAATATATTCTGTACCAGGACACGTTTCCCCCCACTGAGCTGAATATATTTTGTTCTAATACGGCTTCCAGAATAGCAACTTGAAACTTTAGATTCACACCCCTCAAATTATTCTTGCACACCCAGGAGTGAGAAAACGAGTCTTCTTCGGATAACTTTGCTTCTAGACAAGCTTTAATTATGCAATTTCCTCATCTAGTTTACATAATTAGGTTGGGTGTGGAATATTTAGATAATTATGTTTTCCAAGTACAAGACTAAATATAATATACTTCTATTGTTGACAAAACATAGGTCTGATATCATGGATCTGCAAATCATCCGAACAGATCAGGGGAGTTTGAATTCTACATTCCCCCAAAGTCAGAATAATGGTTCTGATTTCGGGAAGTTTTGGAGAAATGAATATTCTGAGGTGTTTCAAGTTCAGAGCATTTCTGAAGTGATGGGAGCAGCTCATTTTCTGTAGGGTGAAGCAGCTGTTTTGAGCTTGAAAAATGAATTTTGAGCACAAATGTTGAACTCAAAACACTTCGCATTCTTCTAATATTATTAGGGGACCAGACTCTAAACGTTTTACGTAGGCTGGTGGGAGCTTTGTAGAAGCAACAAATGGTTAAAGACTTCCATTTCCACCCACCAGGGGTTTCCATGAAGAAAACACACCTAGGATAACTCTGTTGCCTCTTTGATGGCACATTATTTCTCTGGAAGTACCTTAGTTATTTTGTTTCAGCGCTCTTCTATTGACGTGTGATGAGATCTTTGAGAGGGTATTCATTTGCCTGTCTGTGCCCTTTAAAGAAGATATTAACTGCCCCCCCCATTCCTTCAATGTCTCACCAGTGATCTGAGTTACCAAATATATTCTCGAGAAATGGTCACGCCTTTATCAAAGGATGCACACCTTGCAATGTTTTCCTTTAACAGATCATTCACTTCAATCTGTGTTTCCATCAGGTAGAAGAAGAAAAGTTGAAGAAGAAGAAGAAGAAGAAGAAGAAGAAGAGGAGGAGGAGGAGGAGGAGGAGGAGGAGGAGGAGGANGGAACCCACCACTGGGCCAGAAACATTTCTTTCTCTTGGACTGATCTGATTCAAGCACCTAGATCAGGTGGGATCAGTTTTTATGAATCAGATCAGAAATGTGGGCCAAACAGAATCAAATCAATGACTCAAACTGGAATGTTCTTAACACATCCCCAGCACAACCCAACTCAGCACACCGGATAACGTTTCCCACAGAGGTGAATGGTTGGATTGCAGACGTCTGAGAAACGGAATGGCCCATCCACACTTTCATTTCCTCCCAACTGTTAACTCTCTTTCCTGAAGAAACCCCCCCCCCCAGCTGTGCCGTCAGGGAGCCTCCATATTTATCAGTGTCTGGCGGGGGGGGAACCCTTGAAATGTTAGATCCCCAACGATATCCATTTCATGGCCCTCGGTGATTGACGTTAACGCGGAAGGCATTTGATGGACTCCAGCAGAGAGAAACCACAGCCTGCTAGCCATCAGAGTTGCCTTTCCCTCTCAGGTCACGACGGAAGTCACCAGTGGGCTCCTTCCACCCAACATGAGTCGTCCCTGCTCATATTTACTTCACATAAGCAATAGAGCTGCTGCAAAGGGCTCTTGCTGAGCCAGTTGTTCAGCATAGAACGGTTAATAACTGGGATTCACAATCACTTCATTTAAATTTTTAAAAAATGTTAGTCCCCCCCCTAAACATTTGTGATTTATTAACTTCTGGGCATCCAAACATGCAAAATACTTGTCATCATAAGAATACCTTCATTATTTTGATTTAAATGTTCTTTAGGTTCTATTTCCCATTCCCTCCTTGATAGGGAATGAAAGAAAAAGCCTCCTGAATATTACTTTTCATTTTTCCCTTGGGGGCCAAAAGGAAGAATTCATTTTCTTTATTCTTAAAACTTGAGCTTACAAAAGGCATCACCTCTTCTTTTGTGGGGAAAAGCAGTTGCCTTGGCTTAAGTCTAAGGCCCATTATTCTTTGGAAGTTAACCCAGCAGGATCTTTAAAACAGGCCCACTGCATTATTTATGATCTTCTTCCTTCTTTAGTCAAGGAATTTTTGCAAATTCTTTCCGTGGACACAGATCATCTTTGTCATCTTAAACATTGGACTCCCGATCCTGAACCTCATTCTGGTTAATGACTCTCGTTCACTTCCGACTTGAGAGGGGGCAGAGGTTTCTGCCAGCTGCTATGATGAATATTTTACCAAACCATCTCTAAAGATTCACTTGGGACAAGCTCTGGGCTGTCTTCTGCCTTTGCAAACACAGTGATTTTCCCTTTGTCTTGAAAGAATGCGCTCAGTCTCTGTATAATTACAGTGAATTCCATCTCTTTATTTATTTATCCTCTGCCAGCATTACAATCACACCCAACGGCCCGCACAATTTCCCGTATTATCTAATGGAAGGGTTGAAACGATTGGGGAGGAAAGAGTGATGATATGAGAAAGAATGCGTAAAATAAATGTCCCCCCACCCCCTGTTTTCAACCACAAGAGGAAGAAGGAAATTAACATGGGGAAGGCATCCGTGTGTCCTTGTCAAGGGAGACCCCCCCCCCAGGCCTTCAAAGCTTCTTGACATTAATGACTCTCATTGACTTCACAAAGGCCTCCCTATTCCAAGGCGGCAGATTGAGGGCCTCCGCTGGGTTACAGGAACCAGGTCACGCTCCCCAGTCTTCTTAACTAAGGGGACAATTACATGCTCATTCCCTCCTTCCATTTACATGTAAATCTACCCTCACGGGAGCACATGGGGAGAACATGGAGCTTGAACGATGTCCAAGCTTCAGCCAACATGACATTATTTATGAAAAAGGCAACCAGTGAGTGCGAACCAAAGCTTTAAAAAGGTCACAAGATACTGAGCAGCCTGACCAAGGAGAAAGTGGGAGATTTAATAAAGGTTTCTACTTACCAGAACATCTTTTCCAGCCCACTTGCATTCATCCCGCCGGCTATGAGACACGGGCCAAGCAATCTAAGGGGGTAAAGTCAAAATGGCATCATGTCACTTAGCAATCCAGAGCTGTCATCTCAACCCAGGAAACGCCCGCTCTCTTTAGGATTATTTCTTTCTCTAAAGGAACTCCCTTTATGGATTTGCTCGCTTCATCATGATAGGCCTGCCGTGTTCATCTCCACATCCTACTGGACAGGATTTTATTTGGATTTTTATACGACTATACATAGATACAGATAGAGCCATTTTTGTTTGAGATATTGGAAGACTGCTATCATGTCTCCCCTGGTCCTTCTTTCTATTAAACTAGAGATACCCAGTCCCTGCAACCGTTCTTCCTAGGTTTTAGTCTCCAGTCCCTTAATCCTCTTGGTTGCTCTTCTCTGCAACAAAGATGATTAGGGGACTGGAGACTAAAACATATGAAGAANTCTCCTCCCACTTATGGCTGCAGGACTGTGACTTTGTTGCTTGTATCCTTATGATTGATATTGATATTGATCGTTTCCTGATTGCTTAGGTGTAACCCTATGACTTATCATTAAGTGCTGTACCTGATGATTTTTGATGAATGTATCTTGTCTTTTTATGGACACTTTGAGAGCCTTTGAACCAAAGACAAATTCCTTGTGGGTCCAATCACACTTGGCCAATAAAGAATTCTATTCTATTCCATTCCATTCTATTCTATTTGGAGAAGGCAGTAGGAAAGATGAGAAACATGAGAAGGTGAGAAGGATAGTAGCAATATAGCCCTACTACATGGGTAAATATCTTTAGACATAAGAGAATGTTGTGGGAACTAGGTGTTTAGCAGAGTTATGGCACGGTGGGGGGGGGGACTCTCTTTGTGTCTAGTTGTTTTGACATGCAATGCCCCATAGCAGCTTCTCGAGGGGAGAGGTTGTAGCAGTTTATGTCCAGGATGTGAGGGGTCTGTGTGAACTGGAGATAGATGGACACTGGACCCACCTGAAGAGCAGCAGCAACTGAAACGTTGATGGCCACTTCCTGCAAAAGACCAGTCTCGCTAAAGTCTAGACACCTTCCAAAGGGGGTTACGAATTACAGTGAAACAAACCAGTTTTCCTGTCTGGAGGTTCCTGCCAATCTCCTCTTTCAAAAGGACACCTCCTCCGGAGCATTTTCTGGACCAGGCATCGGCCAAAGGAATCCAATAGGAAATGTGTGGTTCATATTTCCAACGCTCCGAGGTCCCATTCACGCACCACCTGGACCCACGTAGGTATTCTCTACAGCTGTTTTGAAGAAGGGTCTTGCCACACACGCCAAGTCATGACTGCACCATTAACGTCTCAGCAACTGTAGCCTAGGCAGACACGTTACTGGCACACCCACCCTACAAACATCTGGAACATCGGTGCAGTCAAAGGAGGTGGGAATCAGATGGAACACCTGCGGGGTCTTCGTTCTTGAACTGAAGCGGAGATTCTCTGATTTTAACCTTTCCTATCAGATTCACAGGAACGTTGGCCATTCCCACCCTGTTGTGCTTGTTCCCCTTTTTACTGGGAACTGAATTAAAGATACGGAAGTTTTCTCTCTCTTCACCTCTCCTTCATTCCATGCTACTGAAATGATTTAAACCTAAATTAGAGTGGATTTAATGATGTCACACCAGCAACAGAAGATGGCGTTATCTGATACGTATCAATTAATTCATGGTGGTTGTGTTCTGGTGAAACTAAAGGGATGCTTTAAGACTAAAGATGACCTTTTTTTTTAGTGCAAACCCTTTTCCCATTTCATTTCTACAGTTGCTACTATAGCCCAACTCCTGACAGGTTGGGAGGAAAGATGGGACTTCCTCCAACTAAGGTCCAAATCATTTCTCCACAATATACATTGGATATTTTTTATCTTTTATCACAGGTATAAAAAGATTTAAAGTACCCCTGCAAAAGCAACTCTGGGGCACGGCTCATTTTTTCAGGTTGGTTTGGATGCTTCCATTCTTGCTGGGTTTCAGGAAGAGTTTTTTTGATAGGTTTTGGGGACGGAGATATCGAGTTTCTCTTTCCTGTAATCTGGAGATTTGCAAATGCAGAGGTATTTCCACATCTGGTGCAATACTTTGCATTTTTAATCCCTTTGATATGTAATGTAAGCCACCCGCAGCCAATTTCCACTGAGTGGTATAGAAGCCCTGCAAATAAATAAACAATTATTCACAGAAATTATATGTTGAATATTCCTGAATCAATTTATCTCCTCCTGCTCCAATTTGAATCTCTTCCTCATTTCCTAATTTGAAGCCATTATGTCTAATTTGACTCAAAATTGAGTCAGGCACACCTGCAATTCTCTTCACCGTCTGCTGTTTTGTCAGTGGCTGTGAGGACTTCCGAAAAGAAAATTTCCAAATAGCCACTTAAACCTCATTTCACACTTAAGTCTTTAAGCGCTCACAAAAGCTGGTTAGCGGCTCAAGAGGAAATTAAACCACTAGGCTAAAGTGCCTGGAATATTATAAGGAAATATTATCATCACAGCTAACCTCGGCAATCTTTACGTGATCCACAAAAGCATCACACACACAGCTTCAGGATAAGAGACGTCCCACAACTGATTTCCATTCTTCCATGCAGGCTTAAAAAGATTCACTGTCACAAGGATGTTGCTCTTTTGAATAAACAGGAATCCACCTTAAGATCCGAATCGCGTTACTGGAAATAGTCACATGGTCCCTCTCAAGAAAGCATCTTGCATTTTGAATGCATGAGACTCCTAGTGTAGGGCTTAGGCTGACACGGCTGTCTGCAGAGGAAGGGAGTCAAAACAGTCAAGACCTACCAAAGCCCCCTCCCCTTTTTATCCCTGCCCCCCCCCCCATGCACGGCCCACATCAATACAAAAACAGGCCCTTTCATCATCCTGTCCAATATCTGATGTATCAAAAGAGGTTCAAAACACTCATAAGCAAAATTCCTTTGAACATAACTTTTGCTAATAATGACACAATCATAATAAAGACAAGGACTGTCTCTCAATCACCAGAAAATGCACAACATTAAGATAATAATAATAATAAAAAATCAACCTTCCTCTATTGGCTCAGCAGATTGAAGTGCAGAGAAATGGCACAGGGTGGATTTAAGACTAGAAAGAAGCAAGATAACCACCATCTAACCAGGAATTCAAACTGGCACCCAATGAGATTCCAGGGCTGCGGGCAGACTTGAACCCAAGTCTGTCTGGGGTCATAAGCTCACCCTAAGCAGCCCTCCACCGGCAGCTTAGAAGCGATCACAGAAATGGCTTCAGAAGTACTTTCAGAAAGCTACTTGAGGAAGAAGCAAAGAAAGAGTCGGGGTGAGAAGGGAATTAGCTGTTAAAATAGGTAATCCAATACATTGCAGCAAAAAAAATGGTTATAAATCACAGTGCCGGTACAAAAATAGAAAAGCAGGTATCAGTGAATATTAAATATCTTTTTCCTTGGCACTCCTTGGAATTCCAGTGCTGTTAATTATGCGCACATGCTTTTTAAACATCTTTTTGTTCCATTTTGAGCAAGAAGGTTTTGCATTCTCTTTTTTATTATTATTTTTTACCCAGAGCAACTTTCAAAATCAGTTCAAGCTACTCTGGAAAAAAACAGAAGGACAGGAACTTGACTTTGCTCAAAAGAAAGTGGGTACAATTGTTCTGGGTTTAGCTTTAATAGGAGAAAACTTTTCAGATGATGCAAACGTTAGAATTAACTCTTGATAATCCAGGTAGGGCCCAAATAAAGAAAACCCACTAGATTCATTTCCAAGCGCAGGATAAAAAGTTGCCATTTCCAACACTAAGAATAATAACCAGCAATTTTTTGACTAATCCAGTTTACGCACCTTCCTTAACTTCTCATCATGTAGCCTACTTCCCTCTTTTGGATAGAAAGGAGCTGAGACAATGTCATATCTGATTCTACAACAAGTTTAATGTATTGAAGCAACTTTCCTCCAACTCAGCTTCACTATCTTTTACTAGCGAGGTGAAAACTCACTAGATTTCCTGCTCTTCGTATTTTGGATTAGATTTATACTGTAAGCAGCTACTTCTTTCTACAGACAGGAAAGGAAGTTAGCCAAGTTTGTCCTCCCGAACCAGAAAGCCAGAGGATGAAGAGGCTCCCTACAGTTGGTGCTTTCTGTTGGTTTGCCATGGATCTCATTCTTCTCCTTGTCAGTCCAAACCTTTGAAGTTGTCACCAATGATCTCCTGTTTATGAAAACAGGAAAGTCCCCCCTCCCAGATATAACACAGCCACTCTTTAAGCACACCTGACAGAACAATAAAGTTTGATATCAAATATTCCACCTTAATTGTTCCTTTTGCACCATGAAGTTCAATGGAGGCCCCAGGCTGGAACACAGGACCATGGAGAGACACGAAGGGAAAATCCCTCCCGCTTCAGAGTCATCATCCTGAGGAATTGTGGCTGGGTTTTCCCAACCGAGGAAGGCTGCTCATTTGTTGAAAGTTTGTGTAGATGCTGGTATTGAGAGAAATGCTTCATTTGAGTATATGTTCTATATTAAAGGGACTCATTGATGTAATAAATGAGGTTATCAGGACCTGAGTCCTATTTCTTGCATTTCTTCTGCTGCTGCTACCATTACTTGGTCCCTCTTCTGCTTATTTGGCCATAAACTCATTGGCATCCATCTGCTACTTCCAGGAGAGGGAAGGACCTGAGTTACCTGCCTTGGCTTTGGCTATCAGCCTGGCCGGTTCTTGCCTGGAGCTCCAGCAGGAAATCCCCGGGCTCTGGACTGGCTTAGAAAGCTGGGGGGAAAAAACCCCCGCATGGAAGGCTGTAAGAGGCAACCTTCTTCTCTGTGGCTGTCAGGAAATTGCTTGGAGGTGCCCTTGAAGGCCTCAGGAGCTCAATTCAAAGGAGAATTTATCTTTTTATACTTGTTAATAGCTCTGCACCAAAAAGGACCCTGTCACGAAGACACAACTGGAAAGAAAAGCAAATTTATGCCAGCCCTTTGAGACAAT